TTTTTGAAAAACTGTATGGCTATAGCATAAAACCGAGATACAAATTTGAGGTAAATGACCAGGTGAGGATTTCTAAAACAAGGCGAGCATTTCGCAAAGGTTATTTGCCCAGTTGGACGGATGAGGTTTTTGTCATATATATAAGAGATATCCTTCGAGTCCTCCGACATATCTGCTTAAAGATTTAAAAGGAACAGTTCTGAAAGGAAGGTTTTACGAACAAGAGTTACAAAAAGTATTAAAGAGTTCTCACGATTTCTGGAGAGTGGAAAAAATTCTGCAAACGAGAGGTGTCGGTGCTAAGAAAGAATATTTCGTCAAGTGGAAAGGCTTTGATCGACGGTTTAATTCGTGGGTGAAAGCGTCATGGATGAAATGACAGACGAATTCTACGTTACTCTACCCAGCAATGCGAGCATGCAGTATTTCCCTCAAAACAATCAATCATCTTATCGAACAAAACTCGCCTCTCCTCTGTTATTGAACGATTCTTGGGAAGTAGGTCTAACTGAAATTTTTATTCCACGAAATTGGTATAATGTGGGAGAGTATAATAATGACTATGTAATAACTAGGAATGTGGAGAAAAGCATTCCTATTAAATTTTCACGCCATACTTTATCATTTAATTATGGCGTTTTAGTTTCGGTAAACGCAGATGTTTCTCTAGAGGAATTTTTATCAAAACTGAATGATAAAATTAGTACCATTCTCGGTAGAGAGGACGCTGTGAAATTCGTTCTAGAACATGAAGGGAGGAGTATTCGCTGGGTTCTTGCAAATGGTTTCGAAGTACACATTTCTAAAAGAAAAGCTCCTAAAATGTTACAGATGTTTTACTTACCAGATGAAGATACTATTATTAAAAAATCTCAAGTGATGAGATTCAGATCAATAGCTGAAAATAAAGATCAGTTATTTTCAATCATAAATAGGAGCCCTTCTAGCACGAAACTGCATTTGATTCCGTTAACCTTAATAAAAGCAGATGTATCTAGGGGTCTCTTTGGCGACGTAGCAAAAAATATCCAAGATCTTAAATTGGAAAATTTTGTCACTTTCACCTACGATCAGACGAAGTCCCAACTAGAAATAAAGGTGTCAGAAAACACGGAGCTGCATATTACTCAAGAAAGAGCATCCTCCCTTTTAAGGATACTCGGCGTCCGCGAAAACCTTATAATTTCGCAAACGCGAAAGTTTCCTGTGCTTTTGCCCCTAACTGTGGAGGAGGGGGAAGCTGTGGAACTTATAATTAAAGGATATCCCGAAGTAACTATGACTGAAAAAGAAACTTTACATTTGCATGTCAGCGCAGGCGTATATAAATCACCGGAAACTTTATTTCGCGAATTTCAACACGTACATTTAAGACAATTAGCGAATTCAAAAGTGTTTTTAGAAGTTCCTCCAGAATCGGAGCTGGCATTTGGGAAAGGGCTGGCAGACATGCTGGGATTCGTCAACACCCATTTCAAGAGCGGAAAATATATAAGCGACTATCCTTTAGAACTGGACGGGGGCATTACAGAAATTTTTGTGTACAGCGATTTAATCGAATCACATCACGTTGGAGATGTGCATGTTCCGCTGCTAAGGGTTATTCCCTGCGTGAATGAAAAAAATGATCAAATTGTGAAGCATTATGAAAAAACTATATATTTTCCTTTGCGAAAGCACTATGTGGAAACGATAGAAATAGAACTGAGAACGAGTAGCGGGAAAAAAATTACCTTTACGGGAGGAAAAACATTTGTAGTCCTGTCTTTTCGCCGTAAGAAAACTATATAAATTGAAGATTTTTCAAGCTTTCCTCTCACTTTCTTAAAACATCCTTAGAGAAATGCACTTAAATCAGAAAGAGTGCGAATCCTATTATTGTGCTCAAGTTGGTGGCGGCGGTGGTGTTTACTTTCAAGGTATACCTCACCAACGAGGTTATGGGTTTTTTGGAGATTTGCGCCGATACATTACGCCGTTGGCACTTAGAGCCGGTCGTTATTTGGGCAAACAGTTGATGCAAACAGGAAAGAACGTCTTGTCAGATGTTGCAGCGGGATCGTCATTTAAGGACTCTGCTCGGAGCAGGTTACGTGAGACCTCTAATAAAATAAAAAGTGATATTTTTGAAAAATTACAGAGGGGAGAAGGTATAAAAAGAAAGCGCAAGAGGAAAAATCGTCAATCAAAGAGCAAGCGTTGTAAGACAAAAGCAGATATTTTTACATAAAGATTAATAGTAATGGAAACTCAGGGGGTTATATGCCTTAAGAGCGAATTGGATCTCTTTAATGGTGTCGCCGTACAACTGGGCATCGATTCCTCTTCCTTCGTGGAAATTCACCCCGTATCTTCATTGTCTGATAAGACGCCCATAGAATTTTACATTAGCGGTAATGGTGAACACTATTTGGATTTGGCGCATACGATACTACACACACGACTTAAAATAACGAAAAAAAAACGATACCAATCTCACCGACGCCGACGGGGTGGCACCTGTTAATTATATTTTAAACACATTGTTTTCCGACTGTTCAATATTTTTAAATGATAAACAGGTTTCGTCACAAGTGAATTATTCTTATAGAGCCCTTTTGGAAAGTTTGTTGTTCTATTCCAAATCAGGTCAAGATAATCTACTGAGTGCTGGCTTATTTGCAAAAGATACTGCATCTAAGCATGATGTTGTGGGAGACGAAAACGAAGGTTATACAACGCGTGCAAATCGTTGCAAGCTTAGCCAAAGCCTCGACCTCGTGGGACCATTGCACTTCGATTTGGCCACTCAACCGAAATTGTTAGTCAACGGGGTTAATGTACGCATTAAACTGGAAAGGCATAAAGATGTTTTCACTTTGATGTCGGCAAACGACAATTATAAAATTAGAATTCAGCTAGCAAAACTATACGTGAGAAAAGTCAGCGTGGCTCCCTCCATCCTAATAGCACACGAAAAGGCTTTAGAAAAAGGAGTTATTAAGATGCCCATTCGTAGGATTGACATAAAAAGTTTTGCAATATCGAGCGGTTTGCAATCGACAACTATAGCAAACGCTTTTATTGGTCAGCTACCCACACGTCTCATTCTAGGTTTTGTATCTAATGCCGCCTATAATGGAAGCATCAACAGAAATCCTTTTAAATTTCATCACTATAACCTAAACTACCTATGCATATTAAATGGGGGACAGATGATACCTTCCAAACCCTATCAGCCCAATTTCGAAAAAACATTTTATGGGCGAAGTTATTTAAGCATCTTTACAGATTTAAATCGATATCATTCAAGCCCCAACATTAATATCTCCTTTGATGAATACAAAGATGGGTATACATTATATGCCGTTGATTTGACTCCAGATATGGCATCTAATGAAAGCCACGTAAGCATAAATAAGAGCGGAAACATAGCCATTGATATCAAATTTGCAGCGGCCTTGCCAGAAACAGTTACCCTGATAGTCTATGCTGAATACAGGAACATAATTGAAATAGACAAGTCACGCGGAGTCACGACAGATTATTAAAAATCATGGACGAAGTTTTGCAAATATACGGAAATGAAATTATCGAACTAGCTAAGGAGGCGGGTGCAGGCGAGGAGGTAATTCGAAGTATAGGCGATATGATGTTTTCCAATAAAATAGCGAACCTGCGCATTGCATTCTTTCTCGCTTTTGCCGAAAAAATTATTGAAATTTTCCCATCAAAGAAACATCAAGTGTACGAAGAAGTGTTTAAAAGCATATACAGAAATATTCATTTCGAACAAAGGCGGTAATGGATACTTTAACTCTGTGTCAATATGCCTGTGGCGACAGTCGAATCAAAAAAACATTTGGAGGTGTATATCCTTCCGATTTCATACCCTTACGAAAGAGACATTACTCCTCATTTATAGTGAATTCGGATCCGCATACTTTACCTGGGAGCCACTGGATTTCGATATATTTTAAGAAAAACAGCACGGCATATTACTTCGACAGTTATGGTCTTGCTCCATCTAACAAAAATATTTTAAACTTTTTAATGACCAACGCTAACAAAACATTTTATAATAAAATATGCTTTCAAGATGATACCAGTACATCCTGCGGAAAATTTGCTCTTTATTTTTTATTTTGTATGGTAAGAGGGTACTCTTTGAAGGACCTCTGCACGAAAGATAAGAAAAAAAATGAAATTTTTATTAGGGAATTTTTTAAAAAAAAAATTCAAACGTCGCCGCTGTTGTCATGCTTTTCATGCCAAGAAACAAAATTGTGTGTCTTTGATAAATATGCGTGTTATTCCTGCAAAACATCACTAACGCTTCAGAAGTCGACGATGGAACGTTACGGCTATTTGCACACTGGAAACTCCGAAAACAGTCCTGTTGAAGAAGTACACGTTGAAAAAATTAATCATTTTTTCTTTAAAAACCTAAGCGACTGCATTCGTAATGCTCTTTACGATGAAAACACTAGCGGGAAAGGAAATCGTCATTACCTGAAAATTTTGAAGAATGCCGAAGTGGTCAAGCATATTCATAAAGCTGACCATCAACCACAACAACAATATGGATATTGCTACTTATACATTCAAAATGAACAAATAGCTCTTTTTTCGGCATGTAGTAAATTATATAATAGCATGTTGGATTGTGTTTCTTCGAAAAAAATTGAATATGAAAGTGAATGTATAAGAGATGAACGCTATGTAATTAAAATTGCTTACTTTGTTATTCTGAATGATGATGCTATTGTGCGAGAATTACATCGCACTTGTGTGTAACACAAACAATTTGATCAATAAAAAGGATTTTTTTTTCTTTCAAATGCAATTTTTTTTTTTTTTTGTCTCTGAAAAAAAAATATCATATTTAGATAAATAATACATTTTTACACTTATTTATGAGCTGCCTTTTTCTATTCCACTGTTTTGTTTTCCGGTAAAAGCATCTGCCTTGAAGAAATTAATAAAATGTAAATTCCTCCAAGAAGATACTAAAACCGGACCTTTTGGATAAGGTCCATTTTTTTATTTTTTTTCCAAAGGATTACAGAAGCTTAATACAAAATAATCATTCTTGTATGCATGATACAATGAAAAAATCAAATGAAACAAAAAACATATTACTGTTGTAAAATATATAAAGGTATCAAAAATTAAAATGAACATTTAAAAAAAAATCAAAACGATTTTTCGATGTAAATCCAATATGGGAACTAACCCATTATTTTCATTACACCATGTGAGATGTTATATTGATAATACAATAAGTAATCAAATAAAACAAAAAGTACATTTCACATTGTTACAAACATAAATGGAATCATTACATATCAACAAAAATTTCAGGGTGTTTATAAAATAAAAATGATTAATCAGAATATTGCCATAATGTATCAGTATTTTTGTTCATATTCGACAGTTAAAAGAAAAGTTTTCTACATAACCTCCATAGCAATTATTATAACAGTGATCATGGTTAATTCGGGGACATTCGTGTATCAAGTTTCCAAAAGAAATGCAACATGAATTCTCGTCGCAAATGAAATACAGAGGACTTTGCTTACATATCTCACACCAGTTATCTTCATTTCGCATATAAGAAAGGGTATCCCTTTCATTATAACATAAGAAATGATTGAATTTTCTGAAAATTTTACATTTCGTTCTGGTAGTGTCTGTTTGACATCGTAACCACAATTCTAAACATTTGTTGCAGCTTTTCAAATAAATATTAGACTCATTATTTTGAACAATTACATGTTTTACAAATGTGATATGTGCAATCTTTAGGTGTAAAAGAAATATAACATCATCATCAAAGAAAAACCAGGCAATAAATTGTTTAGAAAACCACTTATTAAATCGAATTCTTTCATAGAGAGTTAAACTTTCATCCCAAAATACATCTCTGTTCTCTAAGGAGAAACTACTTTCAAAATCAATCCAGAATCGACCTTTCTCTATTATATCTCTTAAAATCATACGAGGAATATTCAGTTCTACATTATACAGTTCAGCTATACATAATATCGAAGATAAAATAGTTTGAATACACATATCTTGCAAAGAAATTGGTTGAAATAAAGCCATATCTTCTGGGTATTCTATGGGAGGGAAACACATTTTTGTTTTTTGTCGATCATTAGCATAAAAAAATATAAGTTGCAAAAATACAATGTCACACTCTACAATAAAATGTTACAAAAAAGTTCCATCATTTTTTTTTAATTCATGTCTTCTTCACGCGTGTTATAGTGACCATAAGACAATGATTGAATTCCATCATCTAACAAATATTTTTTGTCATAATATCCCGAGAGGCTAGCTTTATTTTGAAAAATCGTTTGCAGTTCGTGCTTTTTTGAAATGATTGAATATTGAGAATTCCTAATCAGGGAAGCATTTTCGAAAACGTTTTTTATACGTTTCAAATCCAATGTTTTTGAGCGCGCTCCTTTTGATTCCTTTCGCGGTCTTTTTAACAGTATCACCGAAACGAAATGCGTACATTTTGCATTTCAAACCCACAAATTCCGATATGGGGGTGAGTGTCTCACTTTTTAGAAATCCCAGTTTTCCACGGTTCTCTTCATTAAACATTATATGATTGGGTTCGAAATTACTGCAATCCAAAATATTTAAAAAATTCGTTTTTAAATCACTATATACATCTTCAGTTGTTATATAGAGATACAAAGAATCTGTATCTGTGTATAACAACTCGCATTTTTCTTTGTAAAAGTGTTTAAAATGGGAATAGAATAATTTATACATGTGCAACTTCGCTAATTCTAAAACGCTGAAACCTATATAAATCGGTTTATCTAGACACAAATTTGGATTTTTCATTTTGAAAACTGAAAAATTTTCATTAATTATTTCAAAATATTCCAGCAGAGGACTGTTTAATTTTTTTTGGCATTGTTCCTCACTAAAAACGCCCTGTACGCGAATACGTTTCCTAACATTTTGACAGGTTTTTCCATAGAAAGCGTTATTCATCTTTTTAAAGAAAGATTTTTCAAATTCGCTAGACGCATTTTGTCTTTTCATATTATTGAAAGCAATGTATTCTTTAAGCCACGCTCGTTGTTTAAAAGCTAAAATTCTATGAATTTTCTTAATTATTAAACCCTGTTCTACGTAAAACTTTAGATTTAAATAATGAGCGATGTAGTTTTTTTTTTTTTTTTCAAAAAACTTGGGTAATCATTTTTTGCATGGAAGTGTCGTCTCTGACTGAAATTTTTTGCTCAGGGCTTTGGCATAAGGCGATAGCATGTCAAAAAGTGAGTTAAAAAAGTTCCGGTGCTAGCGGTAAATCATTGTGTTGGTCATGCAGATGGGAGGGATATAACAGATCGGATTCGATAATATACCCCACATCACCGTCTTCAACACAAGACAAAATATCAAACGCCTCCACCTCATTTTCCTTTAACCAGTAAAAACCTCCCAATGGCAGGTGCTGGCTCATTACACACCCGTATAGATTATTTGCGTCTAAGGCTAAGATATAGGCTGTGTGGTAAATCGGGTTTATAACTCTCGGGGATATAAGGATTATTTGCAAGAGCATAACGTCTACCCAGAAAACAAATACCTCCTCGCATTTGGTTTTCAAACCAAATGTATTGATTCACATCTCCTAGAAGCTCTAATTCAATTTTAGACGCTTTCAGTCCGGCATTCCACGTTAATTCGGCAGCCGTTATAAAATGTACAGGATCCAACTGGTAATATTTTAGAGCGGCGGTGCGTCTGAAGGATAAAAATACTTCGGCTAGCAAAATAACATCTGTATTTTGATATAACTCTAAGTAATCGGCAAAAGTGTTACATCCAAACGAATGAAACACGTGTGTGGCATGTACATAATCTTCGTCGGAAACTGCTTCTCCTTGTAATACATTATTAAACGCGCTCTGCGGTGGAAGCGAAAGTTTCATCCAACACCGATGTTGACGCAAAATATGAGTAAGGAAATACGCCTTTCCGCAATAACAATTCTCGTTGGGGATTTTTCTCAAAAAATGCATTAAACAATTTAAATTCATGTTGTGACGTTTTCAAATTCGACACCAAAGTGTCCAAAGACGCATCTAAAAATTGAAACGAATCAATAAATTTCATTTCATCTAGTGTAAACATGGTGAATTTTTCCAAATTCACCGGAATAATGTTAACTTTATTTGCATACATTTTCGGCATGTGTTTTAGTAACAGGTGACTATCATAATTCCTGAAATTATGAATTACCACCGGAATGTAGTTTGACACTTTAAAATTCAAATTACAGGAGCGATGTGCAAGACCTCTCACATGCCCATCACTCCAGTGGCAGTGATCTCTGACCCGAACATCGCCTTCTAAGAAAGGATTCAAACATATATGACATATATTTGAATCGTAACTTTTTTCCGACGTCTCCTGCATCGGTAAACACTCTTTCATCTTTTGCAAAATTTTAGATTTGATTTCGCTCAACGTTGTGAAAAAATGTTCCATTACATTCTCTCCGCAAAAATATTCATGAAAAATAATCTTGTCTTCCACGTCAGTAACTATTAGGGTATAACTAATAGGAATATGCTGTTCAATTGGGGTAGTATGACTCTGTTGCGGAGAAGGAAACGCAGTTTGAATCTTGCGCGTGAGGCATTCAAAATCGGTAAAGACACAAAAAGGATGATAATGCATTTTCATTAAATTTGTAAATTTAAGAAGTGTGTTTTTAGGAATGCTAACTTTCTGCGGTTTGTTTTCATTGCAAAGAGTTTTGTGATACTCTAACGTTTCCCTTCTCTGAAACCCACTTAAACAAGTTTTACAAAAAAAAATTTACTCGTTTTTCGTTTGCGTGTAATAGACGATTAAAATTTCGAATACAAAAGAAATGTTTTTGAAAATATAGCAAATCTACTGTTTTTGTCGCATTTCGCTTTTCACTTAATTGCAAAGGTAATATTTCATTTTCCTCATATCCATACACGTTTATGGATACATCGTTCAGGTTTTCAAACATTTTTACATCGCCTAACGCTAAGGGAAATTTGAGGGATCCTAATTTAAAACGTGATATATCCTTTTTATACAAGTAAGCCTTCTGAGGATTTCTAGTGGATTTCGGAAAAACACTTGCGGCAACAGAATATAAAAAACAATTGTCGTCACCACATTTGATATTTAACAACGCTTTTCTATTTTTTAATCCCGTCGGTAAAGCGATGTTTTTACAACCACCGCGATTTTCCCGATAGTTTCCAACGTGTAAGTCAAGGTACTCTAACTTTTTTATTTTCCACCCGCTTCCATTACGCACAAAATTATCTATCAAATTTAAAATCTTTTTAAAGCATCTGTCAATGCTTTCGTAGATTTGGTTAGAGGATAAAATCCTTTCGCAATGAGAACAAAAATAAAAACACTGATTAATTTCTTTTTCATCATCTTTCCCCAGTTTCTCAAAACATATTTTCAAACATATTAAAATCCTGAGTCTTAAACTCGATCTAGTATTTAAAATGTTGTATATGGCAGGGCGTGCCGTTCTGAATATCTCATACGGATCTTTCTGAGAAGCATCGAATGTTGTTCTTAAAGTGCGCAAATAGCCTCGGTGGGCTTGCGCTAACTGAATAAAATTCATCATTTGAAAAAAATAATAAATAAATAATGGAACTTTTTTGTTTACAATATTATATAAAATTCATATTAATTTACTAACTTCCACTACCGCTTTCCAGCAAAATCAGCATTTTGATATCTTTTTTTTTTTTTTTTTTTTTTATTTTACATACAGTGACTCTTAATCACCCCCAAAGCTTCGATTATACGATCAATACAATTCATATTTATATTAAATCTTTTGGGGGTGGCGGCGGTTTCGGGATACACCCTTACAAATGAAACATAATTGACATTTTTGAAGTCACAAGTTTCTATTGAAACATTTTTTCCAATGTATATTTTAATTTTTTTTGAGTTTTTTGCGGGAGGTTTCGCCTTCCTCGGGAGCAAGGTTTAAAATAAGATCTTCCGACGGCTGCACATCCCCCAACGTGTCAACACATCTACGTTTGCGTTCTAAAATAAACTAATTTTAATTATAATTTTATGCTTAACATTTATCGCAGAAAGTATTTAACAATAAAAGAACAATAACACACACACAAAAAAAAAAAAAAAAAAAAAAAAAAAAAAAAAAAAAAAAAACCTTACGTTTCACTCACCATTACGAGCTTCCATTGTAATCCTTATGGAGGATGATAGCACCAACCTCACCGCTTCGAAATGTAATGATCAAGTGAAAGTTTCACAAGTCTCGCCTTGTGCGCTTACAGGATGTTTACGCTTTCAAAACACGTATTTCATCAAATACTACTTTCACCTCCCCCTCAAAATCTTAACCTTGATCTAACCTTTCTCAAGGAAAAGCGACCATCTCGTTCCTAATTTAGCAATGCAGAATATTATCCCAGCCCACTCAACTGAAACCAACCCTTTCAAATGCGCATATTACATTCGACTCGTGAATTTTAATTAAATCATTTTCCCTTTTTTTTTTTTTACAAGCCTCTCATCCTTCATTTAACCTTTTTCTCCCTCACTACATTAACGCACTATTTTAGAAAAACATAGTATATGACAAACAGTCTCGCCTACATTACCGCCTACTACTACATCCAAGTACTTTTGAAGGTCGACGGCACTTCCGGGGTGCAGGGATACTCAAATCCTAACTACTACCCTTTATTCATAACTCAAAATAATTTAACAAATGGCGCTTCTTTTGTTTACAAACCAGCCAGTAGTTATGGTGTAACTCAAAAAGGAATGAAATAAAATTATAACTAAATTAGGTCGTAAGTTAGCTAAAGGTTACACAGGAATGAATAAGACGCAAGTTGGCTGAAACCTAAACTGGCGTCACAAGCACTGTTACCAGGAATAAAGCAAGCCGAAGACAGACTGTTAGAGTAGAAATTGAAATAGTATTGTGGCTTCAGCAGGCGGAACATGCTCTGATTAAAGAAACTAAAATCTTCCTTTAAAAACTATCTCTTTCTATGTTATTTGAATACGCGCGAACTAAAAATTAGCATGCTGGAAGGAAAAATGAAACGAGGAAATGACAGTAAAGATATTTAACATAAAATAATTGGTTGTATACAAATAAATAAATCCTTACATATTAAATGAAACATTAGTATCTGTTTCATCCAAAACTTTCTCGAAAGTCTTGTTTAAACTATAAGAAATCTGGCTTGGGTTTAAATTTAGCAATTTTCATCCCTATATCTATTTTATGTAAAATAAATGTCTTACAGATTAACATTCAGTTATAGAATTAATCCACCTACATAGAAATGCAATTAGAATTTTTCAAAACAGGTTTTTTTTTTTTTTTTTTTTTTTTTTTTTTTTTTTTTTACTCGCTAAAAATTCTGCAAACAATCTCACAAAACAAAAGAATTTAATGAAATGAAAATTTGAAAATCGAAAGTGTCAGCAGTGAGAACCTGAATACAATGCAGAAAATAAGATCTCTGTTAAACAGTGAGCTTAGATATAAGATAGAAGATAAGATGCTAAAGTTCGCAGATGTTATTTTCCGTGTCGAAACGGAGTGATAATATTCACATGTCCCACGCAAATATCAAAATAAGATAACTCACCTAATTTCATTTATTTAAAAAAATTCATCTCATTTTTATTTTTTGGAAGAGTTTTTCAAGTCCAAAAATGGCGACTGCATTATTTACAGTTCTCGTTATTTTTTCCGTTCTCAGAGGAAATCTTTGTGGCAAGTATTTCAGTCAGTCTTTTTATTTTAGAAATGAAAACTTTTAAAATGCATATGAAAGAAATACCTGCAAATTATTATTAAATGTAATCGAAGCTATGTAATTCACATAGATTTTACATCTGAATAATCCAAATGATATCTGCTTTCTTTATCATTTTTTATTTAATTATTAAATCCTAAATCTAAAGCAATATCTTGTTTAAATAGTAGCTACAGCATTTTAAACTGCTTCTAAATGAGTGTTTAGTTGTGTGGAAGTGTAATAAGATTGTATGAACTTTCAGGGAATAATGACATTGCAATAATATAACAGGACTAGGTTAAGTTAAGCTGCAGATGTATATCAAACAACTAAACTTGATTTTGGCTTTGATTTTAATAAAGAAAGGGATCAAAACATTATAAGAGAATGCTCATGATAATTCTGTATTTTAGGTTTTGTTGAAAAAAAGGAGGAAGCCATTTTTCTACTCCAAATTAAAGCAACTTTTTTTAATATAGCGAAAATGATGTTGAAATTTGGAGTTTATCGAAGTGATAAAATGTTAGAATATTTTTCCTTCAAAGTCTTGGAGATGAGTACTAAACTTCTAAAAAGAAATTTCTTAGAAACATGAAATTCATTTTTTTAAAAAACTTAACATACTTTTTATTTAGATGTAGTACTGAGAACACCTATTCTGTTATGGAATGAGAACAGTAGATATCAATTTTATTAGCGATGTTTGTATCAACTAACAAGGTCACTGCGAGAGCATTCATACCGTACTTAAAAAAAAATAATGCATGATAAAATATGCTCTTAGCAGTAACATAAGCGCATTGTTACGAGGCATATGCGCATATAGCTTTAAACACACGAGTTATGTGTTTTACATGTAGAGAAAAGATACACATAAAGCTTTAAAATTCTAGTGCCCTTTCTGTAAATTGTTTTCTTTTAGAGTCAGAGCAATGGCTAAAAATGAGATAGAACAACCATAAAATTATTTCATGTTATCAAGTGTAAAATATTACTTCAGTGATACAGATATTTTAATCTGCATATTTGAAAGATCATTATTCACTATTTGGAGATGCAGTACATTATTCAATTAACAGAATTTTTATTGAGATATATAAATTATTCTGATTCGCGAAACATGATTTGAAGAAAATGGCTATGGATTTAATAAGCTAATTACTGCGTAGTTTCACTCACTTTTATGTTGAAACATGCATGACAAAATTAATTAATCTGAAATACTTACTTGTTCGAATTAACTCCAAACTCCAATACGGAGCATAAAGAATTGTTGAATTATTGAAGATTATCTTAATGAATTAAAAACTAACTCTTTTTCTATATCTTTAAGTTTCACAATTTTATTTTTGAAAGTTCTGTTTTTATATGCGAACTGAGCAAGATAAATTACATCCACCTTCAAGGGATACCATCCTGATGAAAATAATAAAAGTCATACATAAATTGAGCAGTTTTGGAGCACAGATTTCATTTTCCCAGACTTTATTATTTGAATATGTCCTTTACTTTTTAAACTTACTTCGCTAAGAAGCAATATGAGACCTTCACACTAATACATTAAAATATGCCTGACATGATTAGTTAAAATCTAAAGTCGTGATTGTGTAAATTCGTAAATTACGATTTCAGAGACTTAATATAAGCTAAATACTGCATGATTTCACGCACTTTTATATTACATTATGCATGACATGCTAATTAA